ATAATCAAAAACCACCTGGTAGTTGGTTATGAAGCTTCAATGGAATGTCGTGACGACAACATGCCTCTGAAAGCAGCGCCACAGCGGTATGTCCGCTCACTGGTATAGATTGCCTAGGCCTGAACGCAATACCGAGGCGTCTTGGTGGAAAGAGCCAAAACGAAGTGAGCCACCTTGGTTTCAGCTCTCGCGCGACGTGCAAACGCGTGCTTCGGTTGTTCTCAGGTTTGGTGCGCGTGTCTTGTCGTGAAGTTTAACACGCATCATTTTTCTGCGAGGTTTTTCGGCGACTTTACGACGGGATGCCAAAATATTGTGCGGCAGAGGGTTGTGGGAACAGTGTTGTTCGTTGTGAGACGTCGGCACACACGTTTCCGAAGGACGAGAAGCTCCGTTACCTGTGGAGTCGTCTCGCTCGCCCGTCCTTTCCAACGTGGGTTCCCTCGAAAAGTGATCGTCTATGCAGCGAGCATTTTCGGGATGAGGACTACATCAGGAGCCCCAGTGCACTGAAGAGTGTGCATTTGCCGACCAAACACAATCGGTTGAATCCAGGAGCTCTTCCGAGTGTGTTTTCGAAAAAGCGCAAACCAGAAGACCTCGCCGAACACATCGAGAAGCGACGCAAAGTGGTAAGTGAGAATTCTCTTTATAAGACATCCCCGTGTTGGCGAATCGTCGTTTTATTCAGAAGTATTGGGGGTATTAATTAATTTTACGCATGATTTATTCGCGTGCGACTAAACATTGCTTGTAGTTTTGCTAATGTGAAATGAAGTAACAAGTCGTCATTTGATATACTATTATTTGCACCAGACGCCTCCGTGCGATGCCGCTCCCAGCCTGGAAGAGGAGGATGATACCTGGGGAAATACTGAGTTCGAAGTGGTGGAGCAGTCATCTGCTAAATCAGGTAGGAATTTGCAGAAATTTCGTCTTTCGATAAACACCTGTTCATGCCACACCAACAGGCACATATCAAGGCGGGAGGGCATGGGGCCCGGCCTCTTCCCCCCCCCTCCCCCCCGAAATCTACCATTTTGCTGTGCCCCCCCCCCCCTAAAGCATTTTGTCATCGCCCCTCCCCCCTGAATCAAAATCCTGACTATGTGCCTGCACACCAGTTTAGTTAGCACACAATATTTGGAACAAAAGTCTAAGCATATTTCCCGAGTACTTTTGATCTCTGCTGTCTCCCTAACCACTGCAGTTACCCTGGATGCTGCAGCTGGTGGACAGCTGGCTGCCGCAGCGTCCCCAGCCGCCACGGCCCTGACCGACAGCCCTCGCACGCCCTCCGGTATGTATGGGCCACAAATCGAGTGCCATATAATGAGTGAGAGAAATTGAATCTAATGGGATCATGAACTGCGTGCTAGGTGTGCATGAACCATTGGTGTTTTTTTTTTAATCTTCATAGTTTCTTCAGTAATAGCGTTCTTCTCCGTTCTCTCACCTTCCTTCAGCTGCCTCGGCCAGAGGACAGCTGGCTGCCGCAGTGTCCCCAACCGCTACGGCCCTGACCGACAGCCCTCGCACGCCCTCTGGTATGTATGGGCCACAAATCGAGTGCCGTATAATGAGTGAGGGAAATTGAATCTAATGGGATCATGAACTGCGTGCTAGGTGTGCATGGACCATTGGTGTTTTTTTTTAATCTTCATAGTTTCTTCAGTAATAGCACTCTTCTCCGTTCTCTCACCTTCCTTCAGCTGCCTCGGCCAGAGGACAGCTGGCTGCCGCAGCGTCCCCAACCGCTACGGCCCTGACCGACAGCCCTCGCACGCCCTCCGGTATGTATAGGCCACAAATCGAGTGCTGTATAATGAGTGAGGGAAATTGAATCTAATGGGATCATGAACTGCGTGCTAGGTGTGCATGGACCATTGGTGTTTTTTTTTTTAATCTTCATAGTTTCTTCAGTAATAGCGTTCTTCTCCGTTCTCTCACCTTCCTTCAGCTGCCTCGGCCAGAGGACAGCTTGCTGCCGTGGGGTCCCTGAACGCTACGGCCCTGACCGACAGCCCCCGTACGCCCTCCGGTATGTATGGGCCACCAATCGAGTGCCATATAATGAGTGAGGGAAATCGAATCTAATGGGATCATGAACTGCGTGCTAGGTGTGCATGGACCATTGGTGTTTTTTTTTTTTTAATCTTCATAGTTTCTTCAGTAATAGCATTCTTCTCTGTTCTCTCACCTTCCTTCAGCTGCCTCGGCCAGAGGACAGCTGGCTGCCGCAGCGTCCCCAACCGCTACGGCCTTGACCGACAGCCCTCGCACGCCCTCCGGTATGTATGGGCCACAAATCGAGTGCCGTATAATGAGTGAGGGAAATTGAATCGAATGGGATCATGAACTGCGTGCTAGGTGTGCATGGACCATTGGTGTTTTTTTTTAATCTTCATAGTTTCTTCAGTAATAGCACTCTTCTCCGTTCTCTCACCTTCCTTCAGCTGCCTCGGCCAGAGGACAGCTGGCTGCCGCAGCGTCCCCAACCGCTACGGCCCTGACCGACAGCCCTCGCACGCCCTCCGGTATGTATGGGCCACAAATCGAGTGCTGTATAATGAGTGAGGGAAATTGAATCTAATGGGATCATGAACTGCGTGCTAGGTGTGCATGAACCATTGGTGTTTTTTTTTTTTAATCTTCATAGTTTCTTCAGTAATAGCGTTCTTCTCCGTTCTCTCACCTTCCTTCAGCTGCCTCGGCCAGAGGACATCTTGCTGCCGTGGGGTCCCTGAACGCTACGGCCCTGACCGACAGCCCCCGTACGCCCTCCGGTATGTATGGGCCACCAATCGAGTGCCATATAATGAGTGAGGGAAATCGAATCTATTGGGATCATGAACTGCGTGCTAGGTGTGCATGGACCATTGGTGTTTTTTTTTTTTAATCTTCATAGTTTCTTCAGTAATAGCGTTCTTCTCCGTTCTCTCACCTTCCTTCAGCTGCCTCGGCCAGAGGACAGCTTGCTGCCGTGGGGTCCCTGAACGCTACGGCCCTGACCGACAGCCCCCGTACGCCCTCCGGTATGTATGGGCCACCAATCGAGTGCTATATAATGAGTGAGGGAAATCGAATCTAATGGGATCATGAACTGCGTGCTAGGTGTGCATGGACCATTGGTGTTTTTTTTTTTTAATCTTCATAGTTTCTTCAGTAATAGCGTTCTTCTCCGTTCTCTCACCTTCCTTCAGCTGCCTCGGCCAGAGGACAGCTTGCTGCCGTGGGGTCCCTGAACGCTACGGCCCTGACCGACAGCCCCCGTACGCCCTCCGGTATGTATGGGCCACCAATCGAGTGCCATATAATGAGTGAGGGAAATCGAATCTAATGGGATCATGAACTGCGTGCTAGGTGTGCATGGACCATTGGTGTTTTTTTTTTAATCTTCATAGTTTCTTCAGTAATAGCGTTCTTCTCCGTTCTCTCACCTTCCTTCAGCTGCCTCGGCCAGAGGACAGCTTGCTGCCGTGGGGTCCCTGAACGCTACGGCCCTGACCGACAGCCCCCGTACGCCCTCCGGTATGTATGGGCCACCAATCGAGTGCCATATAATGAGTGAGGGAAATCGAATCTAATGGGATCATGAACTGCGTGCTAGGTGTGCATGGACCATTGGTGTTTTTTTTTTAATCTTCATAGTTTCTTCAGTAATAGCGTTCTTCTCCGTTCTCTCACCTTCCTTCAGCTGCCTCGGCCAGAGGACAGCTTGCTGCCGTGGGGTCCCTGAACGCTACGGCCCTGACCGACAGCCCCCGTACGCCCTCCGGTATGTATGGGCCCCTAACTGAACCTCTGCCATATTGCAATATCTCTCCTAGAAAAACTGTTTGAACATGTGCCCAAATTGCGTGCCTTGATGCCACCGTGAACACCCATACAATGCTTTGATGGTATCAACGGTTCCCAGGTGATTTTATAGTTCCTTCTTTCTTTTCTCTTTAGGGAACTCCAGTGCGGCAACTAGCACAAGGCCGTCTTTGGCATCAGCAGCAGCGTGTTGCAAGACACAATGTGCACTGACACAGACGACGGGCATCTACAAAAATAAAGGTGGGGTCATATGCTGGAACTTGTTTTGGTTGGTATGAGAATGCCTTAAAGGAGATTACCTTATATGGCAACCTTATGTTTGTGTTTATGGCATTGCATGATGTCAGAATGCCACGTGACATCATTGTCATATGACAACATGGTGTCATGTGACGCCTCAGTGCGACGGTCACAATTTACCGAGTTTATTTTTTTCACAAACTTCAGATAGAAAGTGCTGTTTCTTAAACACTCCATCAAGTGTTGTCACACCCTTACTGCTTTTGATGGAATGTCTAAGCCAGATGATTTTTAATTGCATATCAAAAAATATTTACCATGAAAGTTATATATGGATTGGCGGAAGCCAAGATACCTGTTGACGTATACATGAAGATATTACTTGAGCAATTCTAGAGATGTACTTCTAGAATTCATGGGATGTCATGAGAGTTTCTTTATTAGAAGCTTTGGCACAATTTCTGAAATGTTCCAAGTAGCCGCCAATTCAATATTAAATTCAAATATGTGCATTTTATTGTGTAAAGGCATGTTTCTAGAGCTCCACACTGTTCACCAGTTACCCAGGCATGCATCAAACCGCCGTCAAGAACCCGGTTCGTGCAGACGGATGTTTCGGGGACGATGGTCTGGTGTTCTTCACCGTCTCACGGAGACGATGCGCTCGACACTGATCTGGATCTCTCAGATCTGTGTCCACCAAGAGCAGAAGCGGATTCCAGCTACTGTCTGTCAGAGGACAGCTTTGCTAGGTTTGTATGCTCTTGAGCAATAACTGACCGCATCTTCATTCTTGACTGAGCCACTTGTTGAGATGATGTTTGTTTGTGCAACATAGCCCCGAGAAGGAAGCTCCGTCTTTGGTGCATGAGCGGAAGTTCATCGTCTTCGAGTCATGCCTGGACCAGCTACTGGAGACATGTCGCTCCTGTGCTGCCCCCAACACTCACATCGACAAGACCGTCCAGGGTTCAAGCCTTCAGGTGTCTACGCTCTGTCGGAGCGGCCATACAGAGACGTGGTGCAGCCAACCTGTCATCAGGCGGAAGCCAGTTGGCAACATCCTGGTGGCTGCTGCAATCCTCTTCACGGGCTGCAGCATCAAGAAGGCCCTGCGGATGCTCAGTAGCATGGGCATCGCCTGTTTCTGCTACAAGACCTTCTTTATTATTCAGAAGGCCTTTCTGCTCCCGGCAATCGAGAAGGTATATTGAAGAAAAAGTATTCAGGCCATGCAGAGCTATAAAGCTAAAACACAACACAAAATATTATGATGGCAGTATATACTTTAGAACTGAGAATTTATTTATATCAGAAAAAAAAGAGTCAATATCTTCGCTCAAACAGCTGTGAAAAGTGCCATTTCCAAACTAGGCTGCCTTTATATGCTGATCCTTTTCAATCACGAGGGCAGTCGGTAGGGTGGCCCTATTTTCTTCTTTGGGGTATTTTAATGGCATGCTCAAAATGTGAAGAGCTGAGTGATTAATCAAATGTCTATTTCATTTCATTTGACCCCTCTTGTAGAGCAAGTAGTAACAGAAATGGCATTTGTACTGTTCATCTGTGTTTCCTTGGGTATAGCAACGAAAATAACTTGGCCATAATTGAAAATTGCGGTCGTGCCAACAAATGGGACAAAAAAGACATTGGTTTATGTCTTCATGCCTTTGTTGCAAACCCAGTTTCATTGTAGGAATCCTTCATTTTACATAACCAGGTGTGGAACAAGCACCAGCTGGAGCTGGTCTCGGCCGCAGCAGGAAGGCAGCTGGTCATCGCTGGGGATGGGAGAGCGGACTCGCCTGGCCACTCCGCCAAGTATGGTACATACACCATGCTTGACGTCGAGGACAACAAGGTTCTCCATGTTGAAACCGTCCAGGTTTGTACTGAAATCCTGAGTGCCTGAAGCACACGCTGTAGTGTTTGCCACTTAATAAAGTAATGCAGGGCTGCTCAATTAACATGCAGTGTGAGATTTATTTGCATATTTTGTCGTAATCGTCGCACCTACATATTCAAGCTCCAGTGTGCACTTTTGGCGGCAATATGAGCTGGCACAGCTTACTGCCAGCCGAAGGGGGTAAAATGCTGCGTGAAGTGCCTCAGCATGCATTCCGACTACTGCATCCTGAACGCCTCTGTGCGAGATCATATTGCCGTTCCTGAAGCACATTTTTGCTGCATAATGAAGAAAAGTGTCGTGCCCATCCCTGCTTCTAGAGGGATCGACAAATAATTTCAATATATCAACTTCATAAAAAAATATTGCACTAAGGACAAGACGAAGATAAGAACAGTACAAGCTTTCGTCCTGTTCATATTTTTGTCCTCTCCTTTTTCTAATTGTTCTCACAATGTTTATCCAGCTAGCCCAAAAGTTAACTTTTTATACTAACATGAGTCTCATGTTTACTTCATTTGTACATTATAATGTTCTCCCCATTTCGTTTCAGAGCAATGAAACGGGTGGCAGCTACCACATGGAGTTGGAGGGCCTTAGAAGGTCTCTAGACATTTTCGAGGCCCACTCTCTCGTAGTGGCAGTGCTTGTGACAGACAGGCACCCCCAGCTGAGTGCTTGGTTGGAACGGGAGCACCCGGACATCTGCCACCTCTTTGACTGCTGGCACGTTGCAAAAGGTAGATTTATAAAAGTTATACCAGCTCCTAAAAGTTCCACTATTGCTACCTTGAGCCAACCAAGTCTAATAAGCCTTCCTCTTTCTTTGGATTGCAAACTAGAAGACCTGCACTGCGAATGAGTATGTCCATCAACACTATAGTCTGTTTCATACTTAGCGTGCAACGCTTTCAAAGCTACTGGCGCAAGCGTGGGGCTTGATATCGTTAATCATTTGCACGCGATCTCGCGCAAACAAAACCATAGATGAAGCCACGCGCTCGCGCCAGTAGCTTTAACAGCGTTGCACGCTAAGTATGAAACAGAGTATAGATGTTAGTTTCTGCTTCTTAGATCTCTTGGTTAAACCCCTTACCAACCTGTTTCTTTGAATGGTTAGGTATTTTGCAAAGGAGCTGGCTCCTGTTATGAATCCCATGAAACAAGGTTGCGCAGCAGTTCTCAAACTCCAGGGAATGCAACAGATTGTCTTTAGGGGGAGGGTGGGGTGGGGCAGCTGAGGATGTTTAGAATGTGAGGCAGTTCAAACGCTCTGTAGAGAAGAAAAGAAATCAAATGCCCAATTGGTTTGGAGAAAGCATATGTGTTGAAAAGCTCCGGTTGTCGTAATGGCCAGAAGTGCTTGGTGGTCTAGGCCAACTCGTCGGCGGCCCATTCGTCAAAGAGGCCAATTCGTCATAGGGCAACTCGTTGAAGCGACCAACCGGTTTGCAATGTTTCAAAGGCAAAATATATAAATTATGTCCTGAAATTTGAAAACGAATCCTGCCCTACAGCAGTCCGTAACATCGCCGCACGGTAATTTGACTATTAGTGTGCTCTGTCCCGTTTAAGAAAACTTACCGCTTTCATGGTGCAGCGGGGGACGATCACCACGTCGCGCGTGCCTCACTGGGGCAGGTGTTAACCTACCCGGCTCACCTGTTCGCACAGCGACAGTCTGCGTCGGTTCATTACAAAAATATTAAAGAAAAGTAACAAAAATATGACCCCAAAATGAACATTTCTCAACTTGTCTCAAGGTACTGTCCTGTCTTTGCCTTCTTGTGACTTTTTTTGCAGTCTTGTAACCTAAGAATGGAGGTAAAAAGATAGAAACTACAAACTTTTACTTCGGGCGGTCATTCGACCCATTCGAAGAATTGCCCTATTACGAATTGGCCTATTTGATGAATTGGTTGTCAACGAGGAGGAGGAGGAAAACTTTATTCAAAAGCTCAGGTCCGAGCCGTCTTAATCGTTCGTACTGGAGGAGGAATCGTCTTCTACGACTCGGGAGTTGGCCAGATCTCGTGCTTGGTTTTATGACTCACTCCAAATGACTGACCCTACTTTCAATGCAACCCTTAAGACATTCATGGAATATTTCTGTCATTACAGTCACTGACCGATTTTTCGGACTTTTCAGGGACCGAAAAAGTGTTCCAATAATAGAGCAGTTCGAATAATCAGCAGATTAAAAATCTTGCCTTTGTTACGTCTATGCAGGTTAAAAAAAGCCATAAAGAATGCTTTGCTTCAGGTTACGCCAGCGTGCCTTGTTTCAGTTTATGCGTTTGCTTTCGGCCACTTTCTTTTAGCTTGAGAATTGCTGCCTTCTTTTCTAGCGTTATGGTCGAGTACTTTCCGCGCTTCTTAACGACACTTTGCGGCGGCGAAAGAACAGATGGGGCCACGATGTCCAAGCCAGCGTAGTCCAAAAGCATGATTCACCGAGACGAGATGAGAGGCGTAAATCCACGACTGCAATGGCGAACGAACAAAGCGAAATGGTAACCATGATGATGACAGTGAAGCACAGCTAGAGAAAACAAAAAGCCGTATAGCATCACCTAGCGGTAGGACTTAGCAGTACTCAAGTAGTGCTGCCAAACCAAAGCCAATCCATGTACAGCCAACATAGAATCTAAAATTTGCTAGGTGGTGTTTCCCGCTGGTCGCTCACAATGATAACTTTTCGACTTCAAGCTGTCTGAAACACTGATCATGAGCATGCTCTATTTCTATCGGGTTGGTCATGGTTCCTCCTTTAGGTCCGAATTATCGGCGTCTGAAAAATTGATCAGCGGCTGTATTACAGAATACCTTAAAATATGTATGACAGGTGCCATCTGGTACTGGCTTTTGAAAAGAGCATACCAGCTCTTCCATAGTCAGTCTGAACACTTATTTTTATTGTGTGTACAATGACCAATTTCAGCCATCAAGAAGAAGCTGGTTGCAGCTGGGAAGTCGCGGCATTCCGAGGACCTCAGCAGCTGGACCAAGTCGGTGGTGAACCACCTCTACTGGTCTGCAGGCTCAAGTGCTGAGGACCAAGACCTGATCCTGCCCAAGTGGTGCTCCCTGGTGGCTCATGTGGCAAATGTCCACACACACCTGGACCCTCTCTTTCCGGAGTGCCAGCACAAAGAGCTCAACAAGAAGTGGCTACTGGAAGGTAAGGACATATTTGTGAGTCTTCATAATACAGTGGCCGCATATTACCATGCCTCATATTTTTGTTGTAGGTTCTCCCGCACACCAGAAACTTAAGGAGATTGTGTTGTCAAAGCACCTTCTGCGGGACATTCCCAGCCTCTCACCATCAGCACAAACTTTTGCCACGGAGTGCTTTCATAGCACTTTGTTGAACTTCGCACCAAAGCTGGTGCACTTTGGGTTCCGGAGCATGACGGCAAGGTGTGTAGGGAGGTCAGTCATTTTCTCTTGGTTTCTTAAATGCATCTACTTGCCAGGACCTACCTGACAGCCTTGCACTACAATGAAAATGCAGCGAGGCCCCAGGCGACAACGAAAGAAGGCGAAAAAAGATGGGCGGTGAAGTATCCGAAAGCAAGGAAGGAGGCCGTTGCTGCTAAGCTCAAGGGACCCTGCACCTATGGTATATAGCAGTGCTCATACACTGATCAGCCAGAACGTTGTGACCACCTACCAAAAACTGTGTTGATTCACATTTGGATGCAAAATAGTTGCAAGGATCGTCTGCGGTGGAGACCCATATCGAACATTCTGATAAACTGGGCTCAGAAACACTTGCATTGTGACCTGCATCATATCTAGCTGTCAGCAGACCCACAGGTAACGGCCTATTTTGGTTCAACAAGCGGAAAAAGTATTCACCGTCCACATTTTGTGATGCGTGAACAGGCAATGCTTTGGCATCTACTAACAGTTTTACCTCCCACTCTTGATCTGTAGTAACCGCAGCAGCTCGCGAACACGCGGTGATTTTTGCAGTTTCCGAGATACTTGTTCCAAGCTTCCAGACCATCACGATCTGCCCTTTGTCGAAGTAAGCTACATCAGCAGCATTTCGTTATACATACACGCATTGTCAACAAAATTATCCCTCTATATCTCTCTGCACCCATTAACTACCATCTGCGTTAGCAGGTGGTAGATAATGCGGATGCCACTTCAGCAAGGCACACTCAGTCACACAGTGTAAGGGTGGTCAAAATGTTTTTGCTGATCAATGTATTTGTTTATTACTAGTGCGAAATCTTACATCTTTGGGTATCTCATTGCAGAGTACGTGGGGGAGCTGATGGATGCTGTGCTTGACATCTCCACCGTCATGCCCTCGTACAAGGCCGCTGCAGCTCACTACTGCCGGGACGCTCCTCCCTTTCTCTCCAGTGCCTATGAGCGTGCGGACAAACGAGCACTGGCAGAGAACCACTATTCGAGGTTCAATTCCTAGGTGGTTGGTGTCGTAGCCGTGGATGAAAAACCCTTGACACTCGGTGTGGCTCTGTGTGATAGGAGAGCCAGGTTTATGTCCCTCGAGTTCTTCAGGAGTCGTTTCGCTGTCTGGATTGCATGCTGTGTCATGCCATTGCTCTGAGCGTAGTACGGACTTGAGGTTATGTGGTTTGCTTCCAAACATTCCACTAGATGCTTGAATTTGGCTGAGGCAAACTGAGGACCGTTATCCATGCGTACAGTTCTTGGCACGCCGAACCGTGCAAAGATTGGTTCGAAGACCTGAGCGATGTCTTTTGTTGTAGTGGCCTTTAGTTGCTCCACCTCAAGAACCTGGAGTAGTAGTCCACAACTACTGTGTAGTCTCTCCCTTCCAGTTTGAAGGGGTTCATGCCAATAGTGTCCCATGGGTTTTCAGGCAAAGGCATCAACAGCAGGGGCTCAATTGGTGGCTTTCGATGTTATTGGCAGACACAGCATCTTTCTACGAAGTCTTGTACCAGTGTTCTAATACTGGGCTACCACACCAATGGTCTTGCTCTTGCGAGACATCGACTTGTGCCCCATGAAGGTGTGGCCAGCATGTAGTCTTTCTAACACCTCAAGCCTCAGGCTTGGTGAGATGACAAGTCTGTCGCCCTTGAAGAAAAGACCGTCGACCATGGAAAGTTCACTCGCAATCTCTGCGAAGCACCTTAGTTCAGGTCGGCCATGACGAGGTGCACAAGGTAGCCACTCTGGCAAGTGTTAGGTCTGCTTGGATGCCTGCCCTGATTCTGTCCAGCATTTGGTTTTACGCCGGCAGCTGTTGAAGTGTCAACTCCTTGTAGTCTTATACTGCGCACTCAAGGTCTCTTTCGTCATCCTTGACTGGATTTTTTGTGGCTTTCGGGACAGCAAATCAGCAGTGTACAACTCGTTTCCTGGAGTGTGTGACATAGGGTAGTCGTATGCGCATCCGAAAGCGTTGAAGCCGGGGACTCGGCTCATCTAGCCGCTTGATCGTGGGCAGCGTGCACGAGGGGCTTGCGATCCGTTTCTACATGGAATCCAAGGAGGAACTTGCGGAGGTGTTTACATGCCCATGTGATGGCTAACACCTCCTTTTCGATTTGGGCATATCGTTCTGTTTTGGAGAGTGAACGTGATGCATACGCCACTGGTGACAGCCTGTCCCTGCCTGCTGCAGCAGAACAGCTCCTAGCACGTAAGATGAAGCATCGACTGAGACAGTATGCGGCTGCTGGGAGTCGTAGTGGACGAGAACTGGTGTTGCGTTCAGTGCCTGCTTGATCCAGTTGAAGCTTTGTTGCTGAGCTGGATCCCAAAGCCACTCTGCATCTTGGTGCATCAGGTCCATCAGCGGTTTTGTCATGTCCGCCAGACCTGGAAAGAACTTTGCTAGGTGATTTGTCGAGCCCAGTGAGGACCTCACTTCGGACAAGTCTGATGGTGGGTCGAGTTGAGTGATGGCTTCCACCTTGCTAGGATCAGCACCGAAACCTTCTGCAGATACCACATGTCCTAGGAACTTGACCCTGCTTTGACGAAAGGTGCATTTGTTGATGTTGAGGGTCACTCCTGCTGCTTCCAGCTGGCTCAGCACCTTGTATAGATTCTTGTGTTCCTCCATCGTTCGCAGGAAACAATGACGTCAGCTTGTAAACATGCCAGACCGTCCTGTCCTTCGAGCACTCGAAGCGTCTCTCATTGGTACAGCTCTGGTGCTGTCGATATTCCGAAAGGCAGTCTCTGGATAAAGGTTGTGTACTCGCGAGATTGTTCAGCGAGGGGCACCTGCCAGTACCCGGCTCGAGCATCTAGGCAGCTGAACACTTGCACACCGGCTAGTTTGGCGAGGCACTTGTCGACTGTTGGCATCACCATTCCTTCACGAACCGCCTTTTGGTTCAGTTGACCGTAGTTGACACAAACTCTCAGCTCACTGCTCTTTTTCTTGGGGAGGGGAGGGGGACTATAGAAAAGCACCACCCTGTTGGTTTTTCCACCTTCTGGATGACCCCTATGGCTTGCATCCTTTCCAATTCCTTCTCTACATGTGGGAGCAGTGGAAGAGGAACTTGCCTTGGATATGCGACGGCGTAGGGCTTGGCATCGTTCTTCACTTTGATGCGGTATTCAGTCTTCATAAGTCCGAATCCGGATGTCAACCTAGCATAGTGATCCAGAAGATCGGAGATATCGCTTGATCACGCACGTCTCCCTAAGCTCGAGTGGGCACTGTATAATGCCAAGAGACTCCACTGCTGGTCGGCTTAGCAATGCCTCTCTCCAGCCTTCGATGACATTGTCTTGTGTGCTTGCACCACGCCGGTCGATTGTGGCTTTGAAGTACCCCACTGTCGCATTTGGCGTTTGGGCCAGTCAGTGTCAGTGTTGAGGTCTTTAGGGGTCCCATGGTCTCCTTGTTGTAGTCGTGAAGTGCAATGGCAGTTACGTCTGGACTGGTGTTGACCTTGATTGTGGCAGGCGAGCCGTTGACATCGACAGTGACTCCCCATGGTTCCGTGGTTGACCGGGTTTTGACCTCACCAAGGTAAACTTCCTCGACACCCTTGCTGCGCTCTGAGAAGCGTGTCGATGTTTCATGCCAGCCTTTTTGTGACAGGCACACTGATGCGAAGTGGTCCGTTTTCCTGCAGTGGTTGCATGTCTTGTTTGAAGTCGGGCAATGCGCTATCGTGTGGTCGCGTGCGCCGCCGCATCACCTGCAGTGTCCTGCTTCGGTCTTGTTCTTGTGCTGGTGCAATGCTCGCATGGGCGGTTTTCTTGCTTGTGGCAATAGACTACTTCCATAAAGCCCTACATGCAACACGGCGCGCGTTGCGCTCTGGGAACTAGTTGGCCAGCCAAAGAGGAGGGTGGCATGGTTTCGGTTTCGATCGACACGTCGGCAAGAGATTATACACAGAGCGTGGACTATTAACGGCCGTTATCTCATGTTTTCTGGTCCCGAGAGTGTCATTTGTGGTTTCTAAACTAATCTAAATGGCCAGACCTCGAAGCTATAGACAAGCCCGAGACGTATAGCTTGTCTTAACTTATGCTTGTTGTATTTTTGTATTTGAGCCTTTCTGTTAGCGTTCCAATCGAGGTATGTGGACGAGCCACTGCTGGAAATCTCGACGCTGCATAGCTCGGGGATCTTGCTTGTTTACGAATCAACAAGTTCTAGCAACCAATAAGTATGCGTACATCGAGCTCGCGCCTTTATATTAGTGTTGTTGATCAGGAAGTTTGTTTGTTTCGTGCGTCCATAGATGAAATATCCCTTTTTGCAATTACTGTTTTTCTTAATACGCCTGAGTACACGAGGTAAAACTCGGAGGCGCCATTGAAAAGCTCAATTTTAACACACTTATCTCTTATCTGTACCGACCCGCAGCATTGCGCGAAGTGAGGTCCCCACCCGCTTGCATTCCACTAATGTTCAACATGGCGTATGTGCATAAAGTTATTCTGCCAATCATATAGGCACATTCGCACATACAGACCGTTTTTAGAAAGCAAAAGTCGAGCACTTGTGTGAAGAATGTCGCACCGTTCGCCAAGAGTGTGCCGGACGGGCATGAACCCCTATGCGGTGCGCCAAACGAACGAAATTATTCAAAGCGCGTTTGACGATTGCTAATGGCCATAATATTTGTTATGTGTTTGCTTTCTTCCTGCCTGAGTATGTCGAGATAATTTCAGACACATCGTTCAGGCACAGATCTTGGGCGTCAGTAAAAGCTCGTCCAAAAAGGTTTAGCGAGGAGTAGGGGTCGCTTGTTGGGGCCTCCGTCGTAGCTAGCCGATCTCAGCGTTTGCGAAAACTTAATCTTCTATCAGCATAAAATTTGAGTGGGAGATATATGATGACACGGGGAAGACATCATAGTAACTTTTGTACAGTAGTGAGGTCGAATTTATTGCGTTTCCTTAAAAGTTCATGCGTCAACGCTGGGCTCAACTTTGATACTCCTGTGAGAATGCGGCTTGCTTTTTGCCTAGTGAAATAACAAGAAGCGGACGTTTGGCAAACAAAATAGGTGAAAGGCTCCAGATAAACAAATTTCAGTTCTAGTTTACTGGTACTAGACGGGATTATTGAAATCGAACTCAAAGATGCACTCATGGGGTGAGGTGACTAAGCCACGTCTTACTATACGTTTGCATACGCACTCATAATATTCAGTGTTTCGGGAACCAAGAAAAATGCCCCGGTCTTCGTTTTGTATCGCTCGAGAATGAGTGTATTGTACGTTCGTGAAAAGTCAGATAATCGAAAACGCAAGCAGTGCGTTTGGTCCCGGCGTGATAGCATGAGATAAAGCTGCTCAGTCGAAATCGAAACTGAGTGGCCAACTAGTTCCCAGAGTGCACTGCGTGGTATTTTGCCGCAATGGGGCGCGTCGGTTTTGGAAGAAGTCCATTCTTCCTGACTTCATCGGCCGCCGGGGTCGCTTGTTCGCTTCTGCGTATCTCTTTTTGTTGCTGCTTGACCACCTTGGAATTATGCCCCGTCGAGATGGCGGTTCGAATGTCAGTTCCGAGGTCAGCTAAAGTATTTCGCTCAGCTTGACGTCGATGAGTCCAATGACGAGTCAATCCCTGATCAATTCTTTTTTCAGTTCCCCGTATTCGCACGTTTCATCCATCTTATAGAGATCCGTAACAAAGGCAGTGCCTTTGTTACGGTTTCACGTGCCTCTTGTTTTCGGCTGTTGAACTTCGCCCACTCGTAGGTCACATCAGGACAGGGTAGAGACGCCTTGAAGACGACTGCACTTTCCACTACAGTCGGACTGGTTTTAGGGCCCACCTGGGGGCATAGGGTAGCTTCCTAACGGTTTACACGGACACACGGACGTGTTGGAGAAACAGAGCCAAGTAGACCCAAGAATAGTCGTCGCCATTGCTGTGAAAAAGGCAAAAAGGCAGTCGAATGCATTTTTGCCTTTAGTATTGAAAAGTGCCGTTGTCTTTCAAGGCGTC